GTGACAGTAGAAGTGAGTCAAGCACCCGGCTGCCGTCGGAGTCCCGCGCTCCAGCGCCCCATACCACCACCAGCAGCTTCAGCATCCAGACCAGTCGGTGATCCCTTTGTCTAGAGGATGGATCACCTTGAGACCCAATTTGGGGGAGTGACTTCCTGCCTAGACCGGCAGACAAACCTCCTCGAGCATATGGCTGGACGCCAGGGTCTCATTCCCGATTATGAGCCGGGGCATTCGACCCACTGAGGTAGCCGACGAGGGAGATATGTGGCAGAGCCGATTCCTTTCGCACCACTACTCAACTTTGATTTTGCATAACTTTTTGAGGACTACAATTTTTTCAAGGAGAGAATTTTCAAAAAATGAATTATTTTGGATATACGGGGTTTTGGGAATAAGTTTACCTTTCTTTTTAGGAATCCAAGTACATTCCGAAATTATGTCTATGATAAAAATTTTAGTCCTCAAAAAGTTATGCAAAATCAAAAAAAAATCATGATTTTCGGATTGTGGAGCACAAAGTTATGGTCGTTCAAAGTTTGACGAAATCGAAAAAATGCTCGTTCGGGGTAGCAAACGACATTTTTTGGTTCGAAGGCGAGACCAAACCACCTTTGGCAGTCTTCGACTTGCAAGATCTCAAAAAGTTATGCGGAATCAAAAAAAAATCGCGGCGATCGGATACCCGAACATAAAGATACGTTTGTTTGAAGTTTCCACCTAAGTTAGGATTTTTCAAAAAAAAAAAAAAAACAGATCGCACCCTGGGGGTGCGGTTTGCAAAAAAAAAAAAAAGGCAGAACGCACCCTGGAGGTGCGGTTTGCAAAACCGCTCCCTACTGGTGCGGTTTTCATCGAAAAACGCGCCATCGGGTGGCGTTTTCATCGAAAAACGCACCTCCGGGTGGCGGTTTAAAAAAAATGGTGCTATTTTTGGAATTTTTCGGAGTTGTGTGCTATTTTTGGAATTTTTTTTTTAAACAGTGCTATTTCTGGAAAAATCTCTTGTTCCTTGGACTTGAACTATATGCATGGTTAGTTGTGGTTGGTAAGTGATCTTGTTGAAACTTGCATTGATTCATGAACAAAGTGAGAACTTTTCATTTGCCGCTTCTAGTAGCCTCGAATGTCGTTTGTGGTGGATGTCAGTATTGCTTGCAACGGTCCTTGTGTTAATTGCCAATATCCATTTGAGATTCGCCACTTTGTGCCCTTTGATTTGTCCCCGAAGCATTTTTATAGGTTGAGATTTTACCTTGTGTGAAATGGTTTGCTTGGGGACAAGCAAACGTCTAAGTGTGGGGGAGTGATTCGGGCCTAATTGCACACACTTTATACTTGTTTCCCTTGGGCATTTGTAGCAAGTGTGCTCCTGAAAGGGTGGTCTTACTCAATTCAGTCAAATGCGAGTTTCTACGTAGAAACGTTTTGGTGATCTAGAAGCGTAAATCGTAAGTATTTAAGTTTTAAAGCGGAGTTTTTAACTACAATAGTTGTAAAAACTGAGATTTTGTGTAGAAGCGTTTTAGTGACATAGAAACGTAAAATCATAAGTTTTTAAGTTTTAAAGAGCGATTTTGACTACATTGGTCTTAGGCTAGGTTTTTACCTTTTAGCGTGTTTCAGGATCTAACAGGTGAAACCAACCCCGGAGTAGGAAGTTGGAAGAAAAGGAGCAAAGACTGGGCAAAGAGGGTGATTCAGGCAAGGTTCACGGTTTCCCATTGGAGTTCACGGTCTCCTATGGTCGTGAACTGAAGCCCAAAATCGTGAACCGCGAAGCGTCCAGGACGAATTCTGAAGTTACTGACGCAAGGAGAGTTCACGGTCAACAAGACCGTGAACTCATGTGAGTAAAGCGGCGCATTTCGACACAGCGCTCCAAGTTCACGGACGCGTTGAAGAATTCACGGCCGTGAACTAAGCCCGATCCCGGTATAAAATGTGAGCATAAAGGAAGTGAGAGGGAGAGTCCAAGAGTGAGAAAGTGTCTTCTTCTTTAAATTTTAGAGAGAGAAAGGATGAACCAAAGGAGGAAGAAGGCTAGGGTTTGCTCAAAGTGGTGAATTGAGAAGAATCTCCTCAAGAGAATATCAACACAAGATCAAAGAAGAGTGGAGGCATCTTCATGATGGTTTTTACTTCTTTCTTTTGTGTTCTTCCCCTTTCTAGCATGGAGTAGTACTCTTTTTCACTTGGGTGTTGTGAAACCCTAAGTATTTGTCATGTAGTTATAGTGTGAATTGAATGATTGTTTATGGGTGTTATAATTTAATGATTGAGGTATTTTCATGATGATTGTGCATGTTTGTGCTTGGCAATCTAATTGGCCATTCGAACCTAGGTTAGAGGGGAAACCCCCCTTTCCAAAAGACGCTCAATTGAGTTGGGATTCCTTGGCCTTTTCAAGCCACCTACCTAGGTTAATGTAGGGCAAACATGTTCTTGAATTAATCAACTAGGTTAATCATGATTAATCCGTCCAACCATCGGTTTGAGGGTGAAGGTAAGTCAACCCTCAATTTCCTTAACCAAGAGGGCTACTCTGGTAGCCTATAATGTATCCCTTGGTTTGGCAATTGAGAGTGTTGTCTTCGACCATAGTTGCACCTCCTAGAGCTTCATGATTGTCTTGCCCATAACGTCTCATTCGAGTCCACGTGCCATAGTAGTAGTTAGGGGGAAGCGATACCCGAGTGATCCTTCTCATCTAGATCTTTCAAACCATTTACCTTTGCTTGTTTTGATTTAAATCTCATAGTTTTCAACCAAAAACCAATCCACTAGATAATGTTTCAAACAATGGAAGTAGGGGTACATGGAACGGCCGGGGTTGATATTTAAACATACTTGCCCTATATTGCACCCATCTAAAGTTTATACTTGGGCCTTATGTGAAATTTTGTTGTGATATTCGAGACGATTCACTCCACCGCAATAATCTAATCGGGGCACTAACACAAAAAACTTCCACTACTAGTTTTCAATTCCAGTAAAGAGAAGTGAATCGATTCCTCGACTAAAGTAATCAATTCACTACTTCCAATTAAGGTTGCTCTTTTAACCTGTGCAGAGACTATCATTCTAGGTTAAAGCAGCAATCACAAGAATTTGATCACGACTCATGCAATTCTTAATAATGCCTCAATAGAATATATCACGTCAATCATCCAAGAAATCAGGTTCATACAACCATTCCTAACATACATGACTAAGATTCTTCATACACATATGAAAAGAGAGTTTACTGCATGGAGAGAAGAGAAAGCACAATGCTTGAATGAGAAAATATCATGTAAAGGATGAAATTCTGCTCCATGCTAGAAATCGGCACTCCGAGTTTCACCTTAGTAGCCTTGTGGCTGAAACCCATGGTCGTGGAAATGGCCTCCAGACCATGGAATTCCAAAACGGCCCGTCTCCCATTAGGAGTCCTTGGCAAAAATCCATGGTCGACCCTAGGGGTCGTGGATTTGACATCCACACTAGGGAAAATTACTGCCCAAAAACCACGATCCAAATGTCGATTCCACGATCATGGATTTGGCCTCCCATATCGTGGATTTTGCCTCTTTGTCCTCCTAATCTTGTATGCTCTCCAGTTACACCCAGACTTGCTCATATGCCTCCATTCACGTACAACGACCTGAAACATCAACAACAAGCACTACCTAGCGTAAAAGGGCCACAAAGCAACTAAATGTCAAGCCAAATGAAGTCTCTGCAGACCTTATTCCAATTTTAAAAATTACTAAACTATAAATTACAAACCTACAGAGGTTTCGAATAAATATAATTACTTAAGATACTATTCTGGAAATTTCTGCATCTTTAGCGACCACCTAGTTTCCGTCACCAAAACCTTATATACCCGTCGTTAATTCCCCAGATTTGCAATCACACGAAAACTCATTCAAAACTCAATTTATTCCAAAGGGAAATTGCGTCTCCTTATCTCCATAGCGTGCCTAAACTCTAATGGATCGATTTGAACGTGGATTCCTTTGAATAGACTCAATCAACTCCCAAATACTTTATCGCCAATCTACTCTTCATGAATTAACGATCCATGGGTAATCCAATCGACCACATGGACATAGAACGACCAAAGGTTAATATTCTTACCTTCCTAAGACACTTGAACGTCTTGACGGTCGAGGAGGACGGCGAGATCGGAAGTATTTTAACGGGCTTGCCAAACGCAGGAACTAATCGCTAGTTTCTTCCTCCCTTCTTTCCTTCCTCCTTGCTCCTTTCCTTCCTCTCCTTCGTCTTCTTTTCTCTCAGAGTGTTTGGGGTGGGTTTTGGGAAATTGAAACGTGAATTACAACAGGCAGAAACTGACAGTCTTTTTTATCAAACAGAACATGGGCATGGGACGCGATCATGTTCAAACCCGTGTTGTCCCCAATCGTCGTACTCGTTCCGTACGTCCTTTGAAGTTCCCCACCGCAGGAACTGTCCGAGTGACACAGCCACGCAACACAGGCATGTTAGAGGTCGTGTTACGCTTCATTCCTGAATTCCTCCATAACGATCCATTCAATTTATTATTATCTCAAAACGAGCGTTTGATGGAATACGATCGTGTTCCCAACCGTGGTCTAGCCTGTTCTGCCTTCTTCATCGTCCTGTTGCCTCCAACCGTCTTCAATCTTTTCGGTCGATCCTTAATCGAATCCAAACCCAAACTTGGGGTCTTGCACATTTTCTCCAAGAATTGCAAACTACTCCCCAGCTCTTTGGAAGATGTTGAGGCCTTCTTAATGTATTTTCCTGCCTTTGGCTCCTCTAAATCAAAGTCTCACTAATTTTTGCAGTGACTCCGTTTCCCTCTCTCCTAAAAAATGACTTGACTTTGCCAAATGGGGCACTCTACATTAAAACAGACCCATGCCAAAAAGCACAACCAGAAGTGCAAAATTCACTGCTGTCTGATTTTGCTGCTCGTGCATTCAAAATGCTGTTATTTGACTTACTGGAGAAACACGACATGATTAGCCATTTAAATCTCGTGTTTATCCATATACACTGTTGCGTTTTTTTCAATTTTTGGTCATGTATTGTGAGTTTTGACTGCTCTTCTTTGTGGACCTCCGTCCATGATTGCTCCCAAAGTCCCAATCATGTCTCCGCTGATCCACCTTGACATATAATCAACTAACACTACTTGGCATAAAATGTGGCAAGAGTACAAGATAACCCATGGAATCGCAAACAAACATTCCAAATGAAAGGGTAAAGATGTATGAAAATGATGCTATAACCAAAGCGCCAAGATCTCGACCTATTGAGACTCCTTCACCATCCTCGAGCTAACGCCGTAAATGCAGTCAGGAATTATATAGGTTTTTAGGTCTATATTTGTGGGAGTATGTGAGAATCTGTGCCCAAATGTGTAACTAGGACCACTCAAAATTAAGGCATTCAACACCAGTGGGCTTGTGACCAGGCTTTTTACAAAAGAGCAAGTGCAAACGGGAGATGTGGCTTTACTGTTTTAGTGAAAAGAAGACAGGAAAGCTTTTACCAGCTATCCACTTGAAGAATGAGATTCTCTTCCACCAAGAGTCTGGATTATGGCTTCCAAAAGTTTAATGTCATTATCACGCTTCACAATCTCCTCTTGCTTTGCTCGCAACTCCTCCATGTGTAGTTGAAATACCTCTACAACCATCATTAAAATAATCGTCATCAAACCTCACTCTTCAGTAAAAGGCATTGCTACCAGAAGATAACTCCAAGTATCGAATTTAGCCAACAGAAAATGAAACAAATGATTCATCGGATTCACCATAGTAATATGGGTATTTGTCAACAAAACAAGCTACCACAGTTTATGCATGTGTTTGTGCATACATCCAAACCAGGAAACCAATGAAGATAGACACAAGAAGACATGACACTAGGTAGACTTACTTGTAGTGTTTTCAAGTTCCTTGGTGACTTCTTGCGCACGTAATTCAGCAGCTTTCTGTGCGACCTCAGCTTGTCGCTTCTCTGCACGTGCACGAGCTGCAGCTGAGATGGCTGCATCAAGTTCTCTCTCCAAAGTTTCTACCCTTTGTTCAAGAACCTACACAGATATACGGTGTCGGTTAGTAATGTAATGAACAATACTGCTCTGGAGACATGGGCAACAAAAGCAATAGTCAAGAGTCATGCGACTGATGCTGCAAGGGAGAGGGACTGCATAAACACCAGCAGAATGATAGCTGAGGTACATTTGAGCATGGACGCAAGTCTTTTTTCCAGTAAGATCATACATGATCTATACAAGGGGATCCATATAGTCTACTACAATTCCAAATCAAATCACCATGAAGCACATAGTTTAGTTTCTCCAAGTTCAGATGCAGACAATGCCTTAATGAATCTCCTCCTTACATATAAAGAAGGCACCTGGTTTTCCTGGCCAAAAATGGTAAACATAGTCATGGAAAATCTGAACCCACGTAGAAAATGCGAGATAAAGTTGCACTGTAAGCCTCATGCAAGGGATCCTTCCAGCGATCTAGAGTTTCTCAATTAGGGTCTGCACGAGGTATGCTTTAATGGCTTGATATGCTTAATGCGACCGACAAGAATGCAAGAGACTTCACAATGGTCCAACATGTGAAAAACAAGTACAAAGAACTTGTCTCTTAATGGTTCAAAAGGAACTCTATACCTGACCCGACCGGAACCACAATGTATACTAATAAGACACCCTCGATCGAGTCCAATCTTGTTAAACTCCACCAGTGAGACAATCGAACTGGCGGTCTTAGAAATTGGCTTATACGTACAGCAGCTGTTCTGTGATTCTCGAGGAGACTAACCAAACAAATTTCAGATAATTTGAGAGACCCAGCAGAAGGAATCGGTTACATGGAACAGAACCCACAACCTCCTAAAAGCTGCTGAGCAATAGCAAGATGGCAGCTATATTTTCAACGTGTTCATTAGGAAGCAAACAGAACCCCAGGTAATGCAACCGTGCAGAGAAGAAGAAGGGAGGAAGTGCTGAAGATTTAAAGAGCGGTACCTTAATCGTGCGGGCTTGTTCCGAGGTGAGTGAGGCTTTGGCGTATGTATCTTCATCAACGAACACGGCCTTCTTAAGGAGTAACTTCTGGAGAGACTCCAAATTAGATGTCATCTCCGTCAAATTCACTATAGCTCCTTGCCATCTCTCCTCGCTCATTGCCTTCATTTCTTCCTTCTCCTTGTCCTCCATTTCTACCCTTTCCCCTGATCAATTAGCACTCAATTGAAGATCCGAAAAGCTAACTTATGCTACTGTGACGCACAATCAGACACGAAATTGCAGAATAACGGAGAGATTCAAAGAGTGATGAAGATGATACCAGTGCTCCCAAGTCCCAATCCAATCTCTTCTCCAGTCGAAGACCGAACTATAACGAACCGGTCTTCTCTCGCGATTCAGAACAGGTTTCTCGCACTCGCAGCCGAACTCACGTTCAATTCTGCAGATTCTTCGCTCCCGGCGAAAACCTGATCTTGGGTTGTCTGTAGACCTGGCAGTCGGGTTGGTAATTTCGGAATTCGGATCGGGAATCTCGGGTTATGGGTTGTCATGAGTCGGGTCATGTTGGGTTAGCTGATTTCAGGTCAAATATTGACTAAGGGGTCGTTTGCTTGTTGGATTTGAAAAATGAAGGTTTTGTGCAACAAAAACCTTGGGATTCATGAGGGATTTATTGTATTATGGATTTGAAAAGTCTAGTGTTTGCATGATAGAATTTATAATGGATTTATGATGGATTTGTCACATAAGCAACTAACAACCATCATGGATTTACAAATCCCAAACAAATATGTGGGATTTACAAGTCCGTGGGGTCCACGGATTTGGTCCCAAATTAAAGACCAAATCCGTGGACCCCACGGATTTGATACCCATCAACAAACAATGGACTTGTGTTAAATCCATCAAACTTGGGATTTAGGTACCAAATCCATGACCCAAATCCAACAAGCAAACGACCCCTAAATTCATTGGGTTCGGGTCGGGTTTCGTGTCATTTTAGGTTATGAGAGTTCTCAGAAACAATATCAAACAAGGTTTATAAACTTTCAAGGAATACAAATTTTTACATATGTGTGACCGTAGTTTACCTAACAGATGTAAATTAACAAATGATCAACTCCTTCCATGCTAATGAAAAGAAATACGAACACACAAATCGTCAAAAAACAATCACGAAAGTAATACTACTACAATAAACAAATGATGTTTGATTATCTTTGCACTCCAAACTTGTATTTCAAATCCTTATGAATTTTTTTAAACATCTCACCAGTTTGCTAGTGATTTTATAATTTTGAGACTGGCATATGCAATGGAACGGGTCTAACGGGTCGACCCAAAAACCAATCCAACCCGATCCAAAAACTATGGGTTAATCGGGTTCGGGTCATTTGGATTTCAGGTTATAAAAACCTCAACCCATATTCTATTTTTCGGACGGGTTCGGGTCAGGTCCTCATTTGCCAGGTCTAGTTGTCTGAGTTGGATGAGAAATTGATTTGATTTTAAAAGGATTAATAGCATTTTATATATCTTTATTATTTTTTTATATCGATTTTCCGGTTAACAATTTAACCGGTAACCGTACTGATAACCGGCAATTACCAGTTAAAACGTTAACCGGGAAACTTGGTTGTTGGCAGCGGAAAAGATGGCTTCGGTATACCGGACCCCCTACCGGTATATACCGACGATATTTCGTTTATACCGGATACCGCCGCGGAAGGGACAATGTGAAACGAGGGAGTAGAAGAAGCGGAGAGAGAGAGAGGAGAAGGATTAAATGGAGATGGACCCAGAAACGGGGGAGGAACCGAAGGGCGGTGGATTTGGCAGAGATTGAGAGGGCTGATAGCGGGTGAAGATGGTGCTAAGGAGAGGAGGATGGAGAGAAATGGCAGATGGTGGGTGATTTGGAAAGGGAGGAAGAGCGACGAGGCAGAGGTGGGGGAGGACCACCGAGGGCGGCAGAGGCGTGGTGGGTCAAAAGGGTCCGATTGTAGAGGGTAGATGCAAAAGAAGTCGATGAAGGCGAGGGGGAAATTGGCTCATTAGCGGTCTGTGAAATATCGTCTGGGAAATCCACTAGAATCTGAGCAAGAAGGAAGGGCAGGGCGCCAGCGGTGGTGGAAGAGGGATGGGGTCGTGGGGGAAAGAGAAGGGGAGGAGTCGCGTTGAAATCGAAAGAGACGTTGCTGCTTGCTTTTCCGATTTGGACTTCCGATTTCTTCTGATGCATTACATAAAGAAGAAAGGGGGAGTCGAGCAGCAGCTGCAGAGCAGAGCAGCCAAACAGCAGCAGCCAGATTCAAGCCGGCTATTTCTTGGTTAACCAAACCATAATCGCATTTCTCCCCCTCCTTTGCGGTTAGTTGGTATAACCGGTTATCCGGTTACAAACCAGTATCGGTATTTGTATCTCTTCCGTCCTCTAATGGTATACCGAATACTGGTTGGTCGGTAACTGGTTTAACCAGTAATCGACCGATTACCACCCCTAATGATTACAATGGGAAAATAACGTCAGTCGATACTAATCAAATTGGCGATGAAAGAGCCATATATGCCACTAAATAGGCAGCTTTGTTAGTTCCTAACAATAAAGAGACAGACAGCTTTGTCACGATCTGAATGGGGATGTAACTAGATCCGTACGAGCAGCACCACCTACAATTCTGCAAAACAAAGAAAACTAATGCTCGAATAAGCATTGATTCCCGACAAATCACGTTGCTTTGATGAGGTGGCAACTTCTCTACTTTCAATCTGGCTAAATAAATCTTAAAAATAAGAAGTAATAAAGTATAAATAATAACCGCCAAAAGAAAAATAATAAAGGGTAACTCGTAGTCCCTTACTCAACTTATTCGCAAGAGGTAATTAGATAAGGATAAGATTAGAGAGGCTTACACGTGGCCATAAGCGGTGTTGCATGCCTTGCCCTCGCTAGCTCGGGATATAATGAAGATCGGAAGGACACAATGATCGGATGCACACTATCGCAGGTACCTTACTGGCGGGATAACCATGATTGATTTGTCTGATGAACGCGAAACCACTGTCAAGGCTGAGAATTGCCCAGCGAGATAAAAAAAAGTCGATGGCTTCTGCATCACTGACGGGACTTTCAACCGACCAACGGACCAACCTGCAACCAACTATGGAAACAAAGCAAAATACCCCAAAAATTGAAACTAAACAGAAACCAACTCCGTTGGCAGGCCAAGTGGATAAACAAAGATGAATGGCGGTGGTTGAGCTATCAAGTCTGAAGAATGGGTCGATCATGGTGTCTGATAAAACGACATGTACATTATTTTGAACGGAAGGATCATCATGCCATCCCATCAAGACCCACAACCATGGGATTCAGATATTTGCCATCTGCTTCCGTGGCTAGTGTTGCCTACTGCGGCGATGGCGACGACAATCGGTGAGTGGTTTGAGAGCCGCGAAATTCCTACACCAGGTGGAGATCTTAGAGGAAGGTGGATTGGCGATGGGGATCGGCGACGAGGCGACCTTTACAGACCGGTAGATGCGCCGGCCGGTGGAGAGGCTTCAAAACTCTCGCAATCCGCTAACCTCCCAGAAGTAAGACAAGAGTCCAGTTTAATAGCGACGACAACAGCAGCGACCTGCTTGCTTCTTCCTCCTTCCTCCGGCGGCAGCAACAACATTAGCAGATGGCGGGAGCAGGGGAGCGGGAAAAAATATTATGAAGCTACAATTTCTTTTCTAGTATTCTAGAAATGATATTACAATTGTCCTATTTTTATACCTCTCTATTATTGTAAGTTAACAAACTTATTGTTCAACTAGTTGTTTCACTTGTTTGCACTTATATACCCTTCTATTATAAAAAAAAGTAACAAATATATCCTTTCGTTAAAAAGTCTATCAAATAACCGTTAAAAATATGACGACAAGGTTCGCTATGGGATATATTCACGACTTCACATCTTCTTGTCGAGGAGAAATCAAAGTGATTCCCGACGGATGAGTCATGTTCGTCGCTGACGACTGAGAGGTATGTTTATTTTACTATAGAGTTTTATCGCCTTTGTGCAAAATCGCCATTATCGGCGTTCAGCCACCGGGGCGATGCCGCTCCATGCATTTTTCGTTATGGAATCACAGTGTCACCAGCTTCAGAGTTCGGACACTCCGTCCAATTGCCAAGTGTCTTGCATATGAGTATCTCATTGGTGGGTGTGGGAGGTGTGCATGTGTGCAAGTCATCATCAATGGTGACTATCCTTATTCTGATGTATCATAAGTGGTCACGTGGGTGAGGCTAGACATTATCTCTTCTCCGATCACTTCTTGGGTTTCTGTTCCATCTCGGCCGACATCAGCTTCACAAACCCCCTTCGGCGGTAGGCGAGCAATAATGTGTCCTCCTGGTGCAACTCCAGTGGCTACCGGACTTGCAATTCCCATTATCGACACAGTCTGCCCTCCCGAAGCAGTTGTGGAAGGTATTCCCCCTCATTCTCCTCCCGTAATTCTTGAGAAGCGACCTACGCTCCCCTTCCAGCTAGCCATTTCCTCCTCTTTTTGACCTGCTAGTTTAAAAGCTACTCGCAACGAGTTAGGCTAAAAAACACGAACTGAGGCCGCCAACTCCGACTTCAGCCCTACCATACATAAATCCACGAGGGTCTCCTCCGCCCTCCCCCTTCATTGGTTACATAGCTTTAGGAACTCGACCCTATAATCCTCAACCTACCCATTCTGCTTCAGTTTTGCCAACTATCCTGGCGCCCACCCCTCTGATATACGGAACTGGTACTTGAGATCCTCCTGAAACATCGGCCAAGTAATCACGATCTCTACTGCTATATAAGATTTCTCCATCCACTCCCACCGCTACATCGCATCCCCCTCTAGGTAGAAAGACGCCAGTTGCGCCATCCTTTCCTCCCTAGTTGGGTGGTTTCTTAACCACCTATCTGTCGCGTACAACCACAATCCCATATTGCCATTCCCATCAAACATAGGAAACTCTATGATAGGTGTCTTAACTCTGGACACCATATTATCAGTTATGCCATACAGAGGGTGGTATCCTTCATACATGTTCATTCCCCGGTGGAACTGACCCATGCCTTTCCCGTAACTTTACTCTTGCTCATACCGGAATGGCTGAGGAAGAGACCAGCCACCTCTTTCCTCCATGTATCCTCCAATGTCTCCCATCCTTGCTCTAGATCCCTATCCTGGCTCCATCACACGCCCGGCCTTGCCCTATTAACCGCTAGGTGTGACCAAAGGAGGATACCTCGGGTTGGGAGGTCGGTGGTGTCCTCCCCACCCCCCAAGCTCGACCTCAAAGGTTGCTTCCTGCCCTAGTCAGGTCGTGTTCGGGTCAACTTGGGTCAATTTGGGTTTGGCTAGGGCCAGTTCGACCAACTTTGGTCCAACCAGTCAGTTCGGGTGGACCCATCTAGCCTGACTTGGGTCTGAAACCCACCCTCGGTCCACTCTAGGTGGCCCAGGGTTGACCCATGTTCCATCCTGGC